CAATCACCATTTTTAGGATTGCAACTTGGACAAGTAAAAATGTCGTAGAGTTTCTACATATAAAGGGTGTGGATGGAGCGTGGATGTGGGTGTGAATGTAGATGGAGAGATATCACTCATACTCACAGTCACAGCCACGCTCACACCCTTCAAAAGGGATTTTGAGATCATAGCGTTGTATTAGGTCACCATTTTGGTTCTATTACACGAAGCATGGTACAGGCAAAAGTCAACACTGCCGTACTCCTCTGTGATGAGTATAGCAATAGATGGAAGCGACTTTTTGATTTCAAGGATTCTTTTCCTGAGGTTGTTAACAGCAACATTAAATAATGGAAAATATGCTATTTTTCTTACTGAAATTGATCATCGTATAGGGGTGTCAGTTTTTGGTTCCGTTCCCAAGAATCCGGAAACCCATATTGACTTGATACAGATTGAAAGAATAAGTACGTCCATATATCTCAATATAATCAGAAACGTTCAGAAACGAACCTTCAAATGGGTTCTGTTTCTTGGGAACGAAACCATAGGGAACGGAGAACTCCGGACACTCCTCCTATCATATTCTGCTTCAACATACATATATTCAAGTTTTCTTCTACCATTGGCAGAAAACTTCCGATTAACGTAGAAACTAACTTGGTGAATATAAAAATGATTGCAAATAACAGACAAACTTTGTGAATAATACGAGCTTAAGAAATATTAAATATGTGTCGTGTGTGAGGACCTGTCGATTTATACTCTTTTCATCACGTTCTTATATCGTTTCCTAGAGTGAGCAGACTGCTTTCAGGTGATGCAATAATAAAATTAGTGAGTGCTTGTAATTCCTCTTTATGGCCGAACAATACCTAGGACAATCCTAGAAGTTAAACCAGTTTAATAATAATACTCGCTCTGAAAATTCCTTGGCCTGTTTATTTTTTTTACATATATTCTTAAAATAACAGGTGAACCAGGATAAATCAGCCATCGTTACTTACTCCATATTGTCGGCGTCAATAATGGTACACTACAACACTAAATATAGACTAAAATGTCCCTTCTAGTCTAATTAGCTTAGGACATCTGCTCGGATCACAAAACATGTGCAGTTCGAGTTTCAAGCAGGACCTTTTGTTCTTCATTCTGCCCATTTATATATTTCCTTACACTGGAATCCGTTATGACTCATATATGATATCTACACATATCTCTGTCAGTTTTTGTTATGTCGAAACAGATTTTCTTCAAAAACTTTCAGTATTGAATTCTCTACTACGTCCTTCAGAAATGATCAACGCAGATATAAAAGGAAGAACTCACCATATTAATAATGCAAAAGTCTATCAGTAATCATTTTCGAGCTCTTTTCATTGACACTAACTCGTATTTTTGGCTGATACTGAAGCAACATGTAAAAAGTTCTACTTAGAAAATTTATTTTTTATGAAAACTAGTCATTATCTTGCATGCTTTCCCTTACTATTAACACTTAAACTATTCGAAGTAGAACCATTTCAGAATGCTTCTAGCCTTGTATTATAGTGTTGTTTAGTGGCATTAGTACAAATCAAAAACTTGCCCCAAATAAAAATACTACGACAAGTTGGCCGTATTTTCACAAAAACTGGGAAAATACTGTGGAAAAACAGGGATATTTTCGAAAACTCGTGAAAGCTAATATTTATTTAATTCTATAGGCTTTTAATGGTAGAGTTCTGACGTACACTCACAGAGTACAGCTTTCATAGCTCACCGAAAGCGTTTATTTAATTGTTTTCTATGGTTTGACACCATAAAAATCCAAAGAGATATCAAGCAAAGGGCTAGAGAGTCATTTATGCTAGGATATCATTATTCTCTAGTACTATGAATGTGCTATGGAGCTACAGGAAAATTGAACTGTTTTACACTTATGATTGTTCGCCGTGACCGAAAAATATACAGCAAAGTTTTAGAGCTAGAGGTATTTCAATGAAATCACCCTTTTTTCAGAACTGTGCGCTCATTATCTTTCCCTGAAGAATCTTTTGTGATTTTTATCTTCATCATAGGGATATTGGATAACATAAGTACCAAATGAACCCATTATCCCACTTCGTCATTATGACTTAAGAATTTTCTGGATACTGTTAATCACAGAGTCATTTTAGGAGGAATACGATTTTTCTAATCTAATTAGAACTATTCGCTCCGACGACAATATTCTAAGCAAATTCTTCACCCAAACTCAGTTGAAGAGAAATCCCTCAACGAAAATTTTCTGAAGCATTTTTTATCTGTACAGTATCATATCTAATTTTGACTGAAGTGAAACCTCTTCGAATGGTAAAAGAACATAATGTTGAACGGTCTTTTTTCCACATGAGACTTCACAAAGTTGATTAACATCTTCTGCTACAGACATTTTGTGACAAGCGTGGCTTTACAATAGTTAATATTTGCTATTCATTTCATACAGAATTTTGGAACATTTCTGCCGAAACGATACGAAAAAAAAATAACATAAGGGTAGTGACGCTATTTAAAGATAGAAAAATTCACTGAATACTGATGACAAAAAACGCCTTCTGAAGAAAATGCAATTTCAAAACACTTACGTTTGCTCTCTGTATTACACTAAGTCTTATGTGCTGACGACCAGAATAACAATAATATATCGACGTTGTTCTATACTAGAGATAAAAACAAGACATTGCTTATATGTACATCACTAATATGAGTTCGGCTCGTGTGTCTTCATTCGTGTCCTTGAAATAACTAATCATCAAATATAATTGAGATACCTTATTTATTTCATACAGTTACTATCATCTTTTTGCTTGTTCGATCATTTATGATGACATATTGATAAGATACCTGATATTTTTCCCATGAAAATATTAGTCACGTTTTGCTTGTTATATCATTAATTACGATATTTTAATGAGATACACGGTGTTTTACTCATAAAAATATCATTGTCGTTTTGCCTGTTCTATTACTCATCGTTCGAATAGCTTGAAGGATGCAAAATAGCGTGAATCGAAGGCAGAAAAATTATGCACTATAACACTACTTTACTTGGTTGGGTGTGGCTGTGGATGGGTATAGAGTGTTAGCGTGGGTCTGGGGTGTGGGTGTCAGCCCTTCGTTAAGCCATACCTACACTCACCCACGCCTACATCCACACCCACCCACAGCCAGCCACACCCGCATCCGAAGACGAACTGAACAGAATTCGAACCAGTAGAATTCTGTTCAATTTGACCTCTGATGAACTTCTAAGTCGGATCCTGCATATATAATATAGTTCATAGCCTGATAGAGAGACATAGTATTGAAAACTTTTCCTTAACCGTGATTAACTATATTGCTTCTAATCGAATGACTATGGCCTGCGGGATTTCGAATCGTTATTCGCGTTAAATCAGTCTGAATTGCGTGTGAGCGTCGCGCCTAATGAAGGAAGTGACCAACTCTTACACCACCATAATTTCCTCTATATGCGAAATAGTTTTGTCCTGCTCTTCCTCCATGATTGTACCGTAGATCATTATACGATTATGCATGTAGGACGTTGATGTAGATGTAGACGTGGATGGATTTTATGAGAAGATACACTCACCCGCTACAATTACACAAACAACCATCTGTGGGTGGGTGGGTGTGGGTGTGGGTGTGGGTACCAATCTTCTCTTGGACAGAACCCACACCCCCACCCACACATACAGACAGAGGCTTGTTCTATAGTATATCTTGTAGCCAGTCTCTCATACTACGTATATCACCATTTGAATCAAATCAGTACTTCTTAGTGTGAAAGAAAAATTAAAAAAACAAATATCAAAGAAAATTGAAAATACTTTGTCTACTATATTTATTTCGTTCGTTCTCTTTCTTTCTATAAAGGTTTTTTCCATATTGTTTCTCTTGTTTTTTTCCTTCCTTTCCTTCATATCTTCCCTCCGGTATATTCCAAATATGTCATATGTATCCTTAGTATACTTCATTATTTGAAATATACATATCTTCTATATTTATGTATGTCGGCGCTTTGTTTTTAGGATAAATCTCATATACACAAGAACGTTTTAATGGGATTTAACAATGCATGCTTTTTATTGTCAACATGAGTAACTAGGAAGAACACTCGCTGCTTTTGAGTGCAATCAGCCATACACAGAAAGTCATTTAATTGATTTGCTTCATAAATATGATCGAAAAAAACCATATAATATGTATAATTATTAAGGTATGTCGGAAGTAGATATGACTGATGCTCAGGGATGTGGCGACCACGGGCTGCAGGGGGGTGCGCACCCCCTCACTTTTAGAAAATTTTCGCTTTTTCCCAGCAAAAATTGTTAATTTTGTTGAAAAAAAAGATCGTGAGATGGAAAAATAAGGATCTGCACTCCCCCTCCACTTTTTAAAATTTCGTAAATGCATTATTTCATGTTCTAAAATTTTTTAAATACACCCTCAACTTTTCAATAAATTTCTCTTGCACCCCTCCACTTTTTTCTCTTCACCACGTCCCTACTGATGCTTGGAAAAAAAACGGGAAAAAACCCATGTTTGTCGATTTCTACGACGGTGTAGTCATTTCTAAATATTGCGGAGAGAAAAAAATGCAGAGTTGTCGTCATTGTAGACTGTCTGGGTGGGCAGATGGGGCAAGTGATACAAAGATGTAAAAATCATTATAAGAGCGAGCAAAAAACGAAGTTTCCAACTACTTTGTTGCTAAGAAACCACACTTTCTTTTAAAGTGGAGATACCCATCTCTGTCACACTATATATACACTAGCATTCATCGTAATGTTCAGTGTTCGCGTGCATATTTTACCACGTCGACATTTGTAGTTTGGCTTGATGCGAATTCTGATTCAAGTACTAGCTCTCGTGATAAGCTTCTATCATATCGATGGGTACAAATCTTCATCAAAGCAGATGATTGTATTGATTACATCAAATCTCATCTGGCCCAAAATTTATTTCTTGTTACTTCAGGTTCTCTAGCAGAATCTATGGTACCACAAATAAGTCAATATGATAATATCAAACAGATATTTGTTTTTTGTGCGTCGATTGTATCACATCTACATTGGACAATTGATTATACTGATCGGTTGTTAAAGTTTGATCATCCAGATGAATTATTAGAACGTTTATGGAATGAAATGAAACGACATTTTCGAGAACAAGCTCAACAATGTATCCAACAAGCAGAAGAGCTGAAAGAACAAGCGAAGCAATACAAGCAACCACCATGAGGATGAACACTTATTCTTATTCGTTTTTCCTTTAAAACATTCTAAGTATTAATATGAAATAATGATACTCAAGAATATTTGTCTTCAAATAATTTGTCTTTGATTTATTTTTGCGGCAGTGTTCGTTTTATCAGAGTGATACAGAATTTATCCGACAAAACTTCACGTAGGACGAAGTCGGTTGATTGCTATCAACTTATGGTATAGATTGATGATATATTGATGCTAATATTTCTAATAATTTTGTATAATTCAATGCTTGTTAGCATCGTGATTGTTTGATTCGATCAGTTTATGATCAGCATGCGTTGGGTTACAAGCATAATGCAATGACAATGTGCTCGATACTTACCCATCTCTGTCATTGGGAATGATAAAAAAAAACGCGTGGAACTGGGCATCCATGCACGTAGACACTCTTACATGACCCCGGCATAGGCGCGTCATAAAACATACTAGTTAGGGCATACCAAAAGTAATGGTAGTGAGACTTTAATAACGTATAGTAAGCTTTAAGAAACTTTCTTTCTATATATTCTTCAAGAGTAAAGAATGCTCTATTTTTCTATGCTATTTGATCATACTTCAACTAATATTATAATAATAAACTTTCGATACGATCTGTTTCGCTAGAATATGTGCTAGTTATGTTAGATCATAAAAGATGAGCGGATTAGATGGATATGCTTTGCATTTCAATTTTCAATTACTTAATACGTTGTATTAAAAAACAAAAATTATCACAAGATGCAGCATGAAAAGCTCTACAATTTCCAAAAGACCGCTTATTTTATAGTTGCACTTTTTGTTTTCAAAATGGATAAAATTTTATGCGACCAATTTTCGAAGATATTCGAATTTCATACCTTTTCCTTACCTAACAGCACTTATATAGTTGTGATTTACTATTATGTAGCTCGTATGTGCTCCTACGAGTAATATAAGAATGAATGAGGAAATATAATTGGAACATGTATCAATTAGTATAAATTCGGCCATCGATTATCGTTTTTGATGTGACTCATTAACCGAAGGAATAAGAAAATGAATTTATCGTGTACCAGTAAATGATCTTGTTCGCAGCGTCGAAAATTGGTCGCGTAGAATTTTATCCATTTTGAAAACAAAAAGTGCAACTATAAAATAAGCGGTCTTTTGGAAATTGTAGAGCTTTTCATGCTGCATCTTGTGATAATTTTTGTTTTTTAATACAACGTATTAAGTAATTGAAATGCAAAGCATATCCATCTAATTCGCTCATCTTTTATGATCTAACATAACTAGCACATATTCTAGCGAAACAGATCGTATCGAAAGTTTATTACTATAATATTAGTTGAAGTATGATCAAATAGCATAGAAAAATAGAGCATTCTTTACTCTATCAGACTTTGTAGAAAGAAAGTTTCTTAAAGCTTACTATACGTTATTAAAGTGTTACTGCCACTACTTTTGGAATGCTCTAAGTATTTTATTTAAGACTACTTTATATTCTATAATTTAATATATACTGTATGTTTATTTTCCAAATAGAAAAACATATACTGAGGGTGTGGATGTGGGTGTGTGGGTGAAAATGTCTTCTCCCACACCCACATCCTCTTTTGACAATGAACTTGCCTACGGCTAATTTTTATAAGTAAATATGTATGTTAAGTTACGCTAGATACGCTGAAAAAAATCAGCCTTGAAGACCTCTGTTTGTAGGGGTTTTACTAAAAAAACTAACGTTAGTGACGTGACTCGAAAAAGGACATCAATTGTCACCGCATACATTTCAGATTTTAAAAATCCGCGAATTAAGGTAATATTTTTAAAAACTAAACGGTGCATTCTGTAGACGACTCTTTGGGCTATAGAATGTCTACTCAAATTTTTCTCGGAGCATGCCTAGATTTTACAAAAAATTGAGCTTACTCGCCGTTAGCGACGTGATACAGTACGAATCGACTACTCTTCGTTCTTTCACATCTCTGTAGATGTTCATTCACTTACCGTGAAACTTAGTACTCCTACTCCCCAAAGCGTGCTCTTTCTGAAATCACATTAAAAAGCTGTTTAACGCTTTGTTAAGGTGTAGGGCGGGTGTGCATGTGGATGTGCGTGTGTATATTATTCACTCTCTGTTCCTACATCCACACCCACGCTCTTTTTAGTTTTGTATTTTTATTCTATCAATATGGACACTAAATATCACGCACTTGGAAATAAAGAGTCATTTATTTTTTCTAGACACTAAATATCACGCACTTCAAAATAAAGAGTCATTTATTTTTTCTAGACACTAAATATCACGCACTTCAAAATAAAGAGTCATTTATTTTTTCTAAAATGCATTTTACTTCCTGTCGAAATATTTTTCGAAGCATACATGTATTTTTTATTTTATATGCGATATTCACCACGTGTGAATTACTCATGCATATGACTGCGTTTATACATTTCGTATCATGCAATTTTCTATATGCAAGGTGTGTAGACTCTTTTGCCTGCGAGTATGTCATGAAAAGAAAAAAAGTGGAAAAAACCAACAACATAGCAGAGGACAGCAAGCATATAAAATACCTTGTTGAAAAATGTAAACAAAATTAATCAAAAAAGGAAAAAGCTAAGTGCTTCATACACTATGCAGCTCGATCAATAAGTCAGTAAGTCAACGTCTGTTTTCCATCTATTATGCGTTGTTTGATTCATTGCACTGCATAATGTCTTAGAATAATTTCGAAAATAAAAGAGAGTCTATTAATTGATGTACACATTATATCCATATAATTTACCTATAAAACACGACTGAAACAAATATTAAATCGATTTTAATAATCGCATTTTCTTTTAGACAGTCTGTTGATATTTCTTTTAATTATTGCTCTCCTGAATTAATTTTTTTGTCTATATTTCATACTTAGTATTTTGATTAGAATGTAGATGAGTAGATAGACATGCATACAAAAGTATAAAGACTTCTTATCCACATTGACATTGATACCAATAAACCATCACCTCATATAATCATCATTATGTAGTTGAACGAAAAAAATTTCGGTAAAAAATTTTTAAAATGTTTGGAATGTGGACATGCACTCTAAAATGTATGAATATAGAGTTCATGATAAATAGAAGATTAAGTCTCACACACGTCATTGTAGTCTACAATTATACATCTATCCACAATCATATGCAGGCGCCCGGCTTCTTGCCATCATAGGTACTTATCAATACTACATTCGACAACCTTTCTTTCCTATGCAGTCTATATGAATATAGTACGAAGACTTCTCTTATAATAATTAAAATCGAATATGAAAGAATCTATTGTGTTTGACATCTTTCCTTCATCATACTATATTACATCGACCTTCATTTTGAATTACAAATATTTGAAACCGTTAGGTGTTAAATCATGACATCGTTTTTCGAAAAATACCGTAGTGCTGTCAAACTGATGAAAATTATTATGCATGAAATAATTTGTATCATTCGATTCATTTCATTTTGATAGTGCTAACAAAATTTACGATATTTCTTTATAGAATTTTCTACACTATTATTAAGACAAAGATTTTTAGCATCGTCAATATTTTGTCATTGGTAATTGATTTTTAGTACGAAAAAGTCAATGGTTATATAAGTTTGATACATAAAATTCCCAACGAGTACTAATTTTAGATGTAGTATTTAATGAACTTCGAGAGCCTTAAAAGATTTTGAAAAAAAACCTTCGCAAACTTCTTATCTTCATCATTGTACTAGTTTAAGATTTAGTAATGTACAAAACTCTTTCGGTTTCCGACGGAATACTTTCGAAATCGAAAAAGTAGCTCTAACTAAGATTCTTTCGACAGATGAAGAAATTTTCGAGAATATCAGTGTTTCTTAGAGTATGTCATATCATACCAATATATAAAAAGGATTTTGCAGCATCAGAATTGTTATTCTTGAAATTTTAAAGAAAAATATTTGGTACTTCAGAGATAAGATGTATTTTAAAGACAACTTTCAGATCCGCGAAAATATTTCCAAATTTCAAAAGAGTTTTCAATCGCTTCAATTTCTGCAAGAAAGTGATTTTATTTAGATGTAGTCAGTCATAAATTAAGCTACGTTTCAAGTTAATCTATTATTGTAGAATGTAGAATCATAAGAGTATATTCAGCGGCGTCCATGCAAGGTATTCGAAAAGTTGGTTGTGAAGAACAATATCAGTTACTTGAAAATAGCCCTAGAAACTCATATACTTTTTTTTAATGTCATACGATTATCTTTGAGATTATAATTCATATAATTAGTCCGAGAACAAATGTCGAAAACGATTACCATCATTTCAAACATTTAATTTCATTATTTTTAAACTATTTGAAACATTATTTTCGAAAAACTATGTTTCCATTTTTAGATTCAGTTTTAATTTAACTAGATCATTATATATGTCTTGTTAAGATCCATTTTCACTTTCCATTTATCTAATAAACAACTTCAATGTAAAGCACTAACGATTTTCTTGATTATTTACGGTCTCTAATATCGATATTCAAGTTCTCCAAATTCGACTTGGTCTTATAAATCGCCTTCTTTAACCTACTAAACAAAATATATTTTCTATGACTTAATTGAAAAACGTTCAGTCACCATTTCTTTCTGCTATTATCCGAATTATAAAGTAGACTATTTTAAAAGCTTTAAAATTTGAAAATGTTTTACTGTAATAAAGATCATAAACTCAATCGATTTGCTAGTGAGATTATTGCATCCAAGGATTTAAAAATATTGCCAATACAGTTTGTATCTGGTGTTTCCACACAAAATGTCGACTTATAC